GTGAACATGCCACTGCACACCAGCCTGAGCGACAGTGAGACTTCCACTCAAAAAAATGAAAAAGAAGCCGGGCTCAGTGGCTCAACCTGTGTTCCCACGCCTTTGGGAGGCTGAGGTGAGTGGATTGCCTGAGCCCGCAGGTTAGAGACCCGCCTGGGCAACTTGACGAGACCTCATCTCTACAATAAATCAAAAATTAGCCGGGTGTGGTAGCGCGCATCTGTAGTTCCAGCTACTTGGAAGGCTGAGGCGGAAGGATCGCCAGAGCCCAGCAGGTCAAGGCTGCGGTGACCGGGAGCGGCCACTGCACTCCAGTCTGGGCAGTAGAGTGAGATTCCATCTCAAAAAAAATAATAATAATTTTTTCTGTAAAATTTTAGTGTCCATAAGCAGACTTTTATTGGAGCACAACATGGTTATTCCTTTACCTATTGTCTATTACTGCTTTTATGCTGTGATAACAGTAGTTGCACAAAGACCACGTGATCCACAAAGTCCAAAATGCAATCATTGGTCTGCATGGTTTTTGAAGTGCGTGAATTTCAGTTACTTTGCTTTCATTGAGTAGGTTACAGCAGGATTTAGATTTCACTTACTGCAGGATGTCAGCTGTGGGTGCTTGTGTAAAGTACTAGCTGTTCAGTTCACAGATCGCTGTGTGAATTACATGTGTGTCTGACAATCAGTTGTCTTCTGTGCTTGGTCACTGCATGCCTGTCGCTCAGTTTACACACACACACACACACACACACACACACACACACACACACACACACACACACCGAAGCATGCAGTTGTTTCCCAGTGATGAGCCTGTGTGATGGTTCACAAGAATGGATAATAGAACTGGCCAAGAAAGACAAAAATGCTGCAGAGAAAAAGTGGTCCGATCCAGCAGACATGGAAAGATGGAACGTACTAACTGTGGGAATGTGCACATTGCTGTCTGCCGCAGGAAAGACTCGAGCTGTGGCCTGAGGAGTCAGGCGGGTCTGCTTGTCCACAGAAACCAGGAAGGCAGTTGTGACTTCCTGGATGGTGACCCAGAGGAAGCAGTGCTGGTCAAGCCTCTTTATGATGCAGCTCTCAGCAGCCTGTGACATTGAAGAGCAAAGGGTAAACGTTGGAGGCTGAGCCAGATCTAGAAAGAGTCTGACAGTTGCTGGAAAGGTGTGAGTTGTACTCACTTTGTGTCATAAGTTAGATCATAAGACCACAAGCACTGTTCAGACTTGGTAATTTGTTTGCAGAGAAGTTAAAACACTTTTTTTTTTTGAGTTGGAGTCTCACTCTGTCGCCCAGACTGGAGTGCAGTGGCATGCTCCTGGCAACTTCAACCTGCTGGGCTCTGGCGATCCTTCCGCCTCAGCCTTCCACATATCCAGAACTTCAGGTGCGCACTACCACACCCAACTAATTTTTGATTTGTTGTAGAGACGAGGTCTTGTCAAGTTGCCCCGGTGGGTCTTGAACCCACAGGCTCAGGCAATCTACTCGCCTCAGCCTCCCAAAGTGCTGGGATTACAGGCTGAGCCACTGAGCCCAACCAGTTAAAACACCTTAAGCTTTATGAACTTCACAGCAACTTGGATAGACTTAGAGGCTATAAAACTGAGTGGTCTATCACAGAAACAAACAACCAAGTATCACATGTTGTCACTCATAAGTGGACCTTGAACAGCTATCATAATTCTATAAGAAAGAGATTGGCAGTAGTGGGAAACTGCCAGGGGAGAGTGGAGCACACCTCATCAACAAGGTGCCTGCCTAATGAACATTTGTATACCTAACCCTGAATTGTACCCCATATTTTTTTTTTTTTTTTTGAGTTGGAGTCTCACTCTGTCACCCAGACTGGAGTGCAGTGGCCACTCCCGGCCACTGCAGCCTCGGCCTGTTGGGCTCCGGCGATCCTTCCGCCTCAGCCTTCCGAGTAGTTGGAATTACAGGCATGCGCCACCACGCCTGGCTGATTTTTTGATTTATTGTAGAGATGAGGTCTCGCTGCCCAGGCAGGTCTCGAACCCGCGGGCTCAGGCTATTCACTCACCTCAGCCTCCCAAAGGCGCGGGATTATAGGCTGAGCCACCGAGCCCGGCACCAACAGAGTTTTTAATGTTTTGACAAAAATGTTTCAATGTCTTAGTCATCGTTTTCCATTGACTGTGAGATTGCTTTGCGTGATCACACTCTGTCAAGCAGAGGCAACCACTGCCTGTTTACTGTTTAGCCCTTTACAGAAAAATCTCCCTGCTCTAGAGAAACAGATGGGTGGGAGGAGGAGGACCATTTTATGAGTTGTTTGGGGCTTCTGAGATGATCCAGGGCTTTCCTGTCACGCATGTGGTGAGGCAAGAAGACCGTGTGCTTATGGCATCTACAGGAGTAAAAAGTGCGTCAAGAACTAGAATGCACTGAAAGTTATTTTTGCTTGTTAATTTTAAAAGCAACCTTAGCCGGGCTCGGTGGCTCAGCCTGTAATCCTGCACTTTGGGAGGCTGAGGTGAGTGAATTGCCTGAGCCCGCGGACTTAGACCCGCCTGGGCAACTTGGCGAGACCTCATCTCTACAATAAATCAAATTAGCTGGTCGTGGTAGAGCGCGCCTGTAGTTCCAGCTACTTGGAAGGCTGAGGCGGAAGGATCGCCGGAGCCCAGCAGGTTGAGGCTACGGTGGCCGGGAGTGGCCGCTGCACTCCAGTCTGGGCTACAGAGTGAGACTCCAACTCAGAAAAGAAAGATGATTAAGTACTATTTTAAGCTTGTAAAAGTAAATTCGACTGGTAGCACCTGAGCACCAAAACGTTTCATAATGCCCTTGTTAGGTGACAGCAGATCTATCTACCTCACTAACTCTGGAGGGTAGTTTTCTGAGCCACTGGCTGGTTGTCTTGGTTAAAGCTAGAATGACTTCAGAAGCAGAGGAACCTGTTTTCCAGGACATCATTCACAAAAGACCAACTTGTTTTGCAATTTTGCAATAGCTGATGTTCAAAATGCCTGCCAGGATTTTGTGAGTTAGCTTTGTATTTCAGATGTGTGATTTTTACCATTTCTGATGCTTTTTCAAGAGAATGTTAACTTTCCTAAAGACAGGAATTCTGTTTTTACTTATGTATTCTGAAGCTTAGGAGGACATCCAAATGTGGTTCCCTTCAGTGTTTTCCTGTTTTTGTGTCGGCATTTTGAAAACAGAATGTACTTAATTTTACATTAGCATTTGTGAGCATACAAATAGGACTTGAGACATGTTTTTCATGACAGCTTTCCAATACTGTTCTGAGACCAATATATCATTTTGTCATTTCTGAATAATAATAGAATTACTCATTAAGGAATCTGCAAATGTGTCCAGCTAACCCCCCTCAGCCTTGGCCAGTTCCTGTGGTAGGGTGCTATCCGTTACCCTGTCATTGAGTATGACTGAAGACAGTCCTGGCAGAGGGCCTGGCCTTGGTGAGGCCTCAGACTGTGATAAGTTCCTGAGGAATGCAGAGGCTTTTAGGCAACTTCTGTGTTTTCCCACTGCTTGTTGAGAGTGGCTTTCTCTTCCTGCCAGTTGCAGGGGTTGGGTTAGTGCCTGGGCTCTCTGATGAGACTGCTGCCTGCCAAGCTTCAACCACCCCAAGCCTCATTGTTCTCATTTGTAAAGTGGGGATGGTACTGTAGGAGTCACAGTTTTATTGTGGCCACGAGAAGTAGTGCTGCATGCATGATGTGCTTGGCAAAGGCAATTGCAGGGGGTGTCAGAAAATGAGTAATGCTTTGCATTTTGGTTCATTTTTATTTTAAGTCTGCCATAGTACTTCAAGTTTTATTTTTATTTTTTAAGTCAGAGTCTCACTCTGTCACCCAGGCTGGAGTGCTGTGGCATGCACACAGCCACTGCAGCCTCAACCTGCAGGGCTCAGGCGAGCCTTCCGCCTCAGCCTTCCAAGTAGCTGAGACTACAGACACGCACCACCACGCCCAGCTAATATTCTGATTTATTGTTGATACTTGTCCAGTTGCCCAGCCTGCCCTTGAACCCCTAAGCTCGGGCAATCCTCTCACCTCGACCTCCCAAAGTGCTGGGGTTATAACTGTGAACCACCATGCCTCCCTGACTACTTCAGTTTTAAAAAATGTTTTGGCCAGGTGTGGTGGTTCGTGTCTGTAGTTCCAGCTACTAGGGAGGCTGAAAAGGGTCGCCTGAGCCCAAGAGTTGTAGGCTAAAGTGAGCTACGATCACCCACTGCACTCCAGCCTGGGTGACAGTGAAACCCTGTCTCTCTCTCTCTTTCTCTTTTTTTTGAGTCAGAGTCTCACCCTTTTGCCCAGGCTGGAGTGCAGTGGCGTGCTCACAGCCACCACAGCCTCAACCTCCTGGGCTCAGGTGATCCTTTCACCTCAGCCTTCCAAGTAGCTGGAACCACAGGCATGCGCCACCATGCCTGGCTAATTTTTTTGATTTATTGTAGGGACAAGGTCTTGCCAAGTTGCCCAGGCTGATCTTGACCCAGTGAGCTCAGGCAGTTCTTTGGCCTCTGCCTCCCAAAGTGCTGGGATTACAGTTGTGAGCCACTGTGTCCAGTTTGAGATCATGTCTCTTAAAAATTAAAATGAAAGACATATGACAAATTATGGAATCCATCTGAAATACCAATGTATCGCTGGCTTTCTTTCTTTTTTTTTTTTTTTTTTTTTTTTGAGTTGGCGTTTCACTCTGTTTCCCAAGCTGGAGTGCTATGGCACGCTAATGGCCACCGTAGCCTCGACCTGCTGGCTCAGGCGATCCTTCTGCCTCAGCCTTCCAAGTAGCTGGAACTATATGCGTGTGCCACCATACCCAGCTAATTTTTTGTTTATTGTAGAGATGAGGTCTTGCCAGGTCGCCCGGACTGGTCTCGAACCCCTGGGCTCAGGCAATCCTCTCACCTCGGCCTCCCAAAATGCTGGGATTACAGGCTGAACCACCGCGCCTGACCAGGCATCTTTTTCTCTCCCTCTTTCCACCCTCAGGCTTCTTTGCCTGGCGCGTAGAGGGTATCTGGTGCCCTGGCTTACGAAAAGCACCAAGTTGCTACCATTATACTGCGGGCCACTCTGCCTCATCCTCTGGTGTGGTGCTTGGTGGTTCCTGCCTGGCTGCCTTGAGTTTTGCTGGGCCCTTCCTCAGGTTTTATGATCCACATACGATGTAGTTCACTCATTTAAGGAGTACAGTTCCTTCCCTGAGTTTTTTACTTAAAAGGCTGTGCTCATCACTGCTCAGGAAGCAAGGACACAAAGCGGTCAGAGTGACCGCAGGGCTCCAACTTGGCAGGGCATTGGATAGGCGTTGATGCCTCCATAGCAGGTGGGTGCTCCCACCTTGCTGCTGTTTTCAGTTTGGGGTCAGAACTGGATCCTGGGTGGGTCTTCTCCATCTTGTCTTGTTGATAGCAGTGCTGCCTGCCGCATCTAGCAGCCATGTGGGCAGAGGATTTGCCTGTGTTTTCCCCGGGCTTTGTTGATTGTGCGCCCTGTGACCTTTGGCATCTTGTCAAAAGTACCTGTGCTAAGTGCACATCCAGCTGGTTCTGGTTGATGTGTTATGGACAAAGGGTGCTTCTATTTTTTAAAAATTTACATACCAAAAAATCACTCATTTTAAGTTGATGAGCCAAGGATTTTTAGTACATTGGGCACAGTTGTGCACCTTTAACCACAGTCTGATTTAAAATCATCATTCCTAAATATTCCTGTACCTATTTGTAGTCTGTCCCCATCCCCGCTACCCCAGCACCAGGCAACCGCTAATCTACTTCCTGTCTCTTGAGTTGCCTTTTATGGACGGGTTATATTATTTCATTCATGTGAAGTGTCCAGGTAAGATGCTTTCTAGCTGGTGACTTGTGGGTTTTTCTTACATGTTAGAAAAGTCCTTGCTTCAGAATCTGCTTTGTCTTTTACTTTGATCAGAATCTTCCTCTGTTGCCCAGGCTGGAGTGCACGCTCACGGCCACTGCAGCCTCAACCTGCTGGGCTCATGCGGTCCTTCTGCCTCAGCCTTCCAAGTAGCTGGAACTATAGGCATGTGCCACCATGCCCAGCTAATTTTTTTTTTTTTTTGAGTTGGAGTCTCACTCTGGAGTGCAGTGGCACGCTCACAGCCACCCCAGCGTTGACCTGCTGGGCTCTGGCTATCTGTCCACCTCAGCCTTCCAAGTAGCTATCACACCCAGGTAATATTTTGATTCATTGTAGAGATGAGGTCTTGCCAAGTTGCCTGGGCTGGTCTCAAACCCACAGACTCAGGCAATCCATTCACCTCGGCCTCCCAAAGTGCTGGGATTATTAGCATAAGCCACTGTGCCTGGCCTGAAATCTGCTTTTTCTGCTGGGCCAGCTGCCTGTTATTTCTTGGTGTATGTAGAATTTCCCTGGGAGGGTGTGTGTGTGTGTGTTTTGCACAGTCACAACCTTGTTTGTCCATAGATTGGTGTTTGGGAAAATCTGGATTTATGCCCATCACTTGTGAGCGTCATGACATATTTTGGGAGACATCACAGAAACACACATCCTGCCCTCTGTGCTTTCTAAGAGCATCTCCAGTGGGTGAAATAAGCCTAATGAACATGAAAACTAGAGAGGGTAATTACAATATCTGAGTAAGTGCTCATTTCTGGGATGCTCTTGTTTGTGACATGTTTATCAAGCACCCTGTGCCAGGCTCCGCATGGGTTGGAATGCCCTCGTGCTGAGCAGACAGAGATGGGTAGAGGCCAGAGGGCAGGGCGGGGTGCTCCAGGGGCAGATGTGGGATCCACGGCCAGGTTCTCCCTTCTCCAGTTGCTTTCCATTCCTTCTGAGTCCTCCAGGAGAGAGGCTCACTTGGGTGCAAGTAATACCTCCAGCATGCCTTGGGAGGCTGAGGTGAGTGGATTGCCTGAGCCCGCGAGTTCAAGACCCACCTGGGCAACTTGGCAAGACCTCATCTCTACAATAAATAAAAAAATCAGCCGGGCGTGGTAGCGCGCGCCTGTAATTCCGGCTACTCGGAAGGCTGAGGCGGAAGGATCACCGGAGCCCAGCAAGCTGAGGCTGCTGTGGCTGGGAGCGGCCACTGCACTCCAGTCTGGGCAACAGAGTGAAACTCCAACTCAAAAAAAAAAAAAAAAAAAAATACCTCCAGCACTTGTTCATCTCATCTGTTTATCATATCTGAGCATACCAAGGTGGGCCTGGGATTCAAGGCCTCCCAAAGTCTGGCTCCTCTCTAGTCAAAGGGAAACAAGAATCCGTGTTGCAGAATTCCAGCCAGTGAACAGGAAAGGTCATGAGGAGTGCTGAGGGCGCGGGTAGCATGCTGCCTTTCAGCCTCATTTCTCTAGCTCTGGCCATTTCGGTGTGAAGCTCCTCTTGGCCTGGTGTGAGGGGCGGTATCTAGGAGGGTCCTAGAGTGGTTTTTTGCCTTGCTGATCACTGGCCAGGCCATGTTCATTGAGCTATGGCTGCCATGTTTTCCTAAGCTTTGGCCCCCTCCCCTGCCTTGGGGAGGTGAATCTCTTCTTTATCTCTCTCTAATTTACTTTCTAAATAAACTATATTGTCTTTGTTTTTTTGAGTTGGAGTCTCACTCTGTCGCCCAGACTAGAGTGCAGTGGCCGCTCCCGTCCACCGCAGCCTCAACCCGCTGGGCTCCGGCGATCCTTCCGCCTCAGCCTTCCGAGTAGCCGGAATTACAGGCCTGCGCTACCACGCCCGGCTAATTTTTTGATTTACTGTAGAGATGAAGTCTCGCTGCCCAGGCGGGTCTCGAACCCGCGGGCTCAGGCCATCCACTCACCTCAGCCTCCCAAAGACACGGGATTACAGACTGAGCCACCGAGCCCAGCTGGTCATGTTTCTATATTGGATGTGCAGTCTTTGATAATCAGGGCAGGGCCAAAATGAGCATGCCACTGAAAGGCAGTCAGTGGGCGGATTGGTGTCTGTGTTGTGAGGCGACGTGCTCCTTTCCTGTACCAGGAAGGAGTCATGAAGTAGGTCTGCTGTCAACCTAGGCCTTGGGAACAGCTCGCAGGGGAACAGCTCGCAGAGGAACTGTGGGGAACTCAGGGCTCCACTCCTCCTCTTGGGGATCTGGAAAGCTGTGAGCTTCCTCCTGCAGGCGCGTGCGTGTTCTGTGCTGCAGGGTTGCTCCCAAGCTCACTGGGCCTGCTTTGTGTTTCAGACCGGTGCCTGGCCTCACAGGTGGTGGGCGCGTGCCGGGCCTCCATCCCTCGGTGGTGGTACAACGTCACGGATGGGTCCTGCCAGCAGTTTGTGTACGGAGGCTGTGGAGGGAATGACAACAATTACCAGAGCAAGGAGGAGTGTCTTGAGAAATGTGCTGGTGTCACAGGTAAGCGAGTGGCAACTGGGGACATTTTACTATTTCAAGACAGCTTAGGGATTGGGATGTGGCTGCCTTCTGCCTTCACTAGTTCCCCACAGCCGAATCTGGGGTTGTGAAAAGCGGAAGAAACAGACCTCAGTGAAGCATGTGAAGGTCCTGGTGGCCGCGCGGTGGTTTCACAGCCACACTTTCCTCCTCCTCTTCGCAGAACGGGGAGCTGGCAGCAGGGCGGAGTGGGGTGCAACGTGGCCCGGGTTCCTCTCTCTCTCTCCACCCCAGACCAGGCACGGGAGGGAGTGGCCTTCCCTTAGCAGAGGGCTCCCAATCCACGTAGACAAGGCTGCCCTCTTGCCCCCTGGGCATTTGGGTTATTTTTACTTCTGGGACAAATGATTTGAATAGCTTACCCAGCCAAGTTACAGGTCAAGTTAAAACTAACTTGCGTCCTGGAATCCATCCTCCTCCGAGCCCACACTTGCAAGGGGTTTTCTGGGTCAAAGTCATCCTGACCCTGACAGCCTCATGGTTGAAATTAAAACCTAAAGCCCCCAACAGCGTGCCCTGGCTCTGAGCGGAGTTGTGACGCCTGGAAAGCTGATGGCGGGGACGTTGGTCCTCTGGGGCCGCTCTACCCTAAGTGTTCCAGAACCTGAGGGTTGGCCATCCAAATCCTCTTTTAAAGATTTTCAGTGGCGCTGTCCCTGAAGTTAGCATGTGACTTCATGCACCTTTTCTTGTTGATTTGGTGTTGATGCTGCAACTCTGAAATGACTCTGCTTTGTCAGTGCCAGGTGTTTATGGTTTCCATTCTCACTCGCTGGCCATTGTCCCTCATAGCTTTGAACCAAGCACTCAGAAGTCAGGGGAACTTTCTAGAGTTGTGGGTAAAGAGGGGGAAACACCAGTGCCATCAGGTGTAAGACGCAGGGCAGAACACACAAACCTGGCAGTGCCTTGAGGGGCATTTCATTGATCCTTGCACCTGGTGCCTAGGAGGCAGGCACCCAGCAGGCATTTGGAGAGCAGAACTGCCAACATTGTTTATACAGTCCAGTCCTGTCACTCGCCTTTCAGCAGTACCTGGCAGCCTCATCAGATGGTGACTGAGGAAAAGATCGTTTACTGTATTTTCGTACTTTTTCATCGGCTGTGATTCCATGGAGGGGAGGAGCTGGGAGGGACTATTTGGTGCTCCCTTTTCTGTGCTGCCCTGATCAAGAACTGACTGCAACGAAGCACTTGCCTGCCCTGGTTACTCCTTAGGTCCTCAGGAAGAGGGTGGGTGTTGGAACTCGGGCAGTAAGCAGTGGGCATTAAGACAGGGGTTGCTCTATGGGGCATGGTTATGTTTTGCTGGGAGAAGTCAGTGTTTCCCTAGGGTGATCCAGAGTCTGGCCCTCGCCTTGGAGACCTGGGAAGCTGATGTGTGAGCATCTGGTTGGGGTGCAGTGTGGGTCCCGAGGTGCTCTCGCAGGAGTCTGCAGAGAGCCAGACTCTGCCAGAGCAGCGTATCCCTGGAGTCCTTTGCCAGCATATTCCTTCCCAGCTGCGAGCTCTGTGGGAAGGCAGTTGAGGATGAAAATGGCAGATTATTAATTTCCAATGAGAACCAGAACCGCCCAGAGGAACAGACACTCCGCCTGCACTTTTCATCCACATAGGCAAAGCCCTTTACTTAGCCCAAGTGCCGGAAGATTGCTTGATAAAGAGAGAGGCAGAACTAGGGGAGTGAGTTTCCAGGGTGACTGCTGAGTGGCTCGGACCGCCCTGAGCAAGCAGGAGACCCAGTGCTCCCTCCCTCCGGGGCCAGGCGGTCTTTCCGCCTCACCCCCTGAACTCCTTGTGGGTGGGAGATGAAGTACACATTGTGTAAAGAGGTACCATTTTAACCATTTTTCAAAGGAGATGGGGTCTTGCTGTGTTTCCTAGGCTAGACTTGAACTCCTGGGCTCAAGCAATTCTCCCACCTCGGTCTCCTGAGTAGCTGGGCATTTAATCTTTTTTTGTTTTTTTGAGTCAGAATCTCACTCTGTTGCCCAGGCTGGTGTGCAGTGGCACGCTCACGGCCACCACAACCTCGACCTGCTGGGCTCGGGGGTCCTCCCACCTCAGTCTTCCAAGTAGCTGGAACTACAGGCATGCACTACCATGCCCAGCTTACTTTTGATTTATTGTCGAGACAAGGTATCACCACGTTGCCCAGGCTGGTCTCGAGCCCCTGAGCTCAGGC